TGACTAATTTTCCAGCAAAGTGCCCCAATCACAAAAAACTCAGTCATATAATGCAGTAATTACTATAAGAATTGTCAGTCTTGCAAAATACACATCACTTATTTCATTAAAACATTTATACCATTGCACTTTGTATACTTAAAAATTACTGTGTTTAGCTTCAATTCCACCCAATTATTAATTCCACCCACTCGTAAGTAATAACTGTTTTTTCCCCCATGCATGCACTCAGGCAACAAACTTTGCAATACAAGGACACTGAACACTCAAGGGAAAAGCAGAACGTAGAAATGTAGCTTTATTTCAGTAAGTTTCACACCTCCAGAGCAGAGCACTTTGACTGTTGAGCAAGTTATAGGATTGGGTCTTTTTAAACCAAGTATTTTTGGATGCAAAGTTTATTCTTCCATTTCAAAAAACACCACACATCTTGGGTTTCCCAAACAAAGACAAGAAAAACATGGAATGGACAATTCTTTGCAGCACATTCAAACTGTGAAACAACAGAATGGCCAAATTAAAAAATATCACTTCAGTATCAAGCAGGAGATTTAAACATTGTGGCTACGTCTACACTGGCCCCTTTTCCGGAAGGGGCATGTAAATTTCACTAGTCGTCGTAGGGAAATCCGCGGGGGATTTAAATATCCCCCGCGGCATTTAAATAAAAATGTCCGCCGCTTTTTTCCGGCTTTTAAAAAGCGCCCTTTTCAAAGGAGGAATAAGAGCCTCCGGAAAAGGGCGCTTTTTCCGGAGGATCGGGGCCAGTCTAGACGCTCTTTTCCGGCTTTTTTAAAAGCCGGAAAAAAGCGGCGGACATTTTTATTTAAATGCCGCGGGGGATATTTAAATCCCCCGCGGATTTCCCTACGACGACTAGTGAAATTTACATGCCCCTTCCGGAAAAGGGGCCAGTGTAGACGTAGCCTGTATGTGCTGTGAATTGGTGATGAGGCTCTATTTCTGTTCAGACTGACCCTGGGATCAGAGTTTGTTCTGAACAAATTCTCATGGCCTGCCCACTCCTTTCTACAGCCCTTGGAAATGCTCAGGGGAAATATACCACCGATCAACTGAATGGACCATGAGGTGTCATCTGTTCTGCACATGTTTACTCTCAAGTTTGCTCATAGCAGGGTGTCAGGATACTTGTTTCCCATAATCCCAAACCACAAGGTAATTGCTGCAGCAGACGGTCCTGGTGTAAAACCTATGGGAGATTTGCTAATCAACAGGGCTATTAACATAGGGCAGGAAGCACACGGAGAAACAGGACACTACTACATATGCTCTGGGGTTCAGTGTTTTGGTGAAGGGGTCAGGGTGCTAAATGGGGCCAATTATATCCCACCAGCACGAGAGTTCTAGACTTAAGAAAGTGATGATTGTGATGGAAAATGACCCCACTTCCCACCAAAGACAGCAACTGACACTGCTTGAATGCACTGCTCTTGTCTCAACTCCAGGTTACTTCTTGTGGTTTTGAGCCTATTGACATTACAATTTAAAAAAATCATTAAAATGCTGACAATTAACCTAATCTAGCATTATACCAGGGGGAACTTTGACCTTGAGTTCAATGACTACAGGATCGGAACTTATTTCATATTCCTTGCCTATGTCCACATTGGGAAGGTTTGGCAGCAAACGTGCTGTCGACATGCAAAAGTTGCAAAACGTGAAAACTGACCAAATTGTTTTTTCTGCTCCCATTGTCAACATTTCATGGCCACATGGCCAGCACCCTGCCAACAGCTAAAGCAAAGCAGTGTGGGTTGGCTTCCCACAGTCCAGTGCTGTGGGAAAGCAGAGCTGATCCCTGCGCTTCTTGGGATTCTCTCTTAGCTCTGTGAGATCTCCCTGCTAAGAAATGACAAAGCAGCACAGCATCTGTCCCCCTCCTCCTGCAGCAGCAATCTGCCTTCTGCTCTGTTCCTGTGTGAGGTAGAACAGAAGCATCCCAGTGATTTGATCTCTGTTCCCCCAAACGAAGCAGCTCACTCAGCTTTCACATACTGCTTGGAGCTTTGAAAGAGCTGAGGTGCATCCTGAAGGGCAGCAGAAAGCACAAAATACTGAACAAAGCCATCAGGGCAGGCATTGTGGGATATTGGAGGAAGCCAGTTCTATTGACAAAGCACATAGCAGAATCTGCACTGGCTCTTTGTCAGCAATAAAGGGAGGGGAAAAAGGAAAACTCTCTTGCCAGGGTCGAAGGTTTTTTGTCCCTAAAACTGGACGCTTTTCTCAAGAAACGTTACATTATATTGTAAGGACATTCTCTGTTATGTTACCAAAAGGCAGTTTTGGGTGGCAAAAATGTGCCAATTAAGACATGTCCTTCTACAGCAACAATGACTCATCTTAGTGCCTAGCAAGTACTCTGCAGGCTGCATGACAAATTGTTTCTTGCTCTCTGCAATGTTCCAGGAGGAAAATAAATCTCTCTCTGACTCCAGCTACTTACATATTTATCTGGCTCTCAACACCAAATGCAAGTGCCCTTTTAACAGCCTCTTGTTTCTCTGAGAGACAGGAGGGTGCAGGTATCAGGAAGCAGCCAATGAGCAGGCAGGTCATTTGCATGAGGGGATGTTCTCCAGCGCTGGTGTTTTAAGGGAGAATCGAAGGGTCCCAGGCACAGACCCATTTGCTTCAGGAAGCCGAGCTCATCTGGATCCACCATGGCCTGGGCCCATCTGCTCCTTGCGCTGCTCACCTACAGCTCAGGTGCTCAGAGGGTGGAGGATTAGTACACACTGTGCTTCAGGAAGCTCTGTTTTTGGGCTTTCCCTCATTCACTTCCACTTTCTTGATTCTCTTTCTGTGTTCAGTCAGGACGTGATAATTGTTTAATTCCTGTCCTTGTTCCAGGGGCCAGCTCCCAGCCCACGCTGACTCAGCCGCCTTCAGACTCAGTGTCCCTGGGAAACACGGTGAAGTTCTCCTGCACCCTGAACAACAGCACAGCAGCTACGTTGTTGGCTGGTACGCTGACTCAGCCGCCTTCAGACTCAGTGTCCCTGGGAAACACGGTGAAGTTCTCCTGCACCCTGAGCAGTCAGCACAGCAGCTACATTGTTGAATGGTATCAACAAAGGGATGGCCAGGCCTCTAAGTTCCTTTGGCTCAGTTCTGGCACCAAAGGAGAAGGGGTCCCAGATCGATTCACTATTTCTGACTCTGGAGCCATTCGCTATTTAACCATTACCAACGTCCAGCCAGAGGACGACAGAACTTTGCATTTTACTTTCAATAAACCCTCCCTGCTCTGATTCCTTGTGATGGACTTTCTCTTCTACGCACAATATTATATCTTCCAAGTAAACACAGAGCCGAGAGGGCCTAATATCAGAAAAGCATCTTCGGACAAAAGAATCGGAGAAAACTATGCAAAATGCAGTCAGGTGTAATCTAGCCGTAGCCAGAGTGTGCAAATTCTGTTACGCTTTTCTTTGCACCTGAATTTCAAAAAAATAGGAAATGTGCAATTTTGAAGGTTATTTTTACATATCTAATTTAAAATAAAGCATAAGATGGAGCTTCACTTTGACTCTATACTGATTAATATTCAGGAGCTCAATTTTCAAAATACTTGCAGACAATGAACAAGGAGCAGAATTGCACGAAGGAGCCATTTACTAGCACTGAGAGTTGTAGGGTATGTCTACAATGCAAAGTTAAAGCAAGTGCGGCCGGGGTGATGGCAACGACCCCACAAGATGCACCAGTATGCCCAGGGGCAGCTCTGGCTCTATGTGGCCGAGTGCTGTGATGTCCTGAGTGTGGGCACTCAGGGCTCTCTAGGACAGGACTGCTTTGCTGTCCCTCATCGAGGTAGACAAGCAAGTGGGGAACCCTGAGAACTGTCTGTCCGGGGTGGGGGTAGGGTCCCTTTAAGCACGGAGCTCATTTAGCCTCTGGCAGCAGCCCCACACACTAAGTCCTAACCTGATGCCCTGCCAGCACTGGTTCTGGCCAGCCTTAACTTCGGTTCAGGGTCCACTCAGTGTGGATGTGCTATTGCGAAATAGTTTTTGTGTGTAGATGAGTTGTTTCGAATTAGCTTAATTTGAATTAACTATTTCGAATTCAGTTAATTTAAAATAGTGCTGTAGTGTAGACATACCCTTAGAGAGAATTGTAGGGTCCAAAGCACAAACACATTTGCCTCAAAGCCGAGCTCGACAGGATCCACCATGGCCTGGGCCCCCCTGCTCCTCGCCCTGCTCACTTACTGCTCAGGTGCGGGGTTGTTGGCTGCACTGACACAACATGGAGGCCACCTGCAGGTGAGGAGGTTTGTGTGTGAGGAGCCGGAGTCCTTGTGCTGAGTTTGTTTGTTCCGTTGCTTTCAGGGGTCAGGTCACAGCCTGTGGTGACTCAGGAGCCCTCCATGTCGGTGACCCCAGGAGGGGCCGTCACGCTGTCCTGCAGCCTGAGCACTGGAGCCATCACCAGTAGCAACTATCCTGGCTGGTTCCAGCAGAAACTGGCTCGGTTACTCAGCTGCTTACTTATGAAACTAATAACAGACCCTCTGGGGCCATATCTGGTAACAGCGCTGTCCTGACCATCAGCGGTGTGCAGGCACCGGACAATTCTGACTATCACTGTGCTGTATGGACTGGTAGTGCAAACCACAGTGTCTTCATCCTCCCAGCCAGGGTTCTGCACTAGCTGCATAATTTGGTTCCTACCTTCAGTAGAACTAGGACCCTAATTTATGTTCACGAAAAATGTGTTACTCACTGTGATATTTGGTGTTTCTTGGATCCCAGCCAGTAGCACCTGGTCTCCAGCTGCCCAGCTCCCAAGGTAGCAGCACTGGCAGCAGCATAACAGTAAGGATAGCAACACCACAACCACCTGCGAATGCCCTAATATCCTTTTTTTGGTCATGACTCCCACAATGTACAACACCCTCCAATTTCGGATTTAAATAGGTAAAATCATGAAATCTATCATTTTTAAAATCCTGAGATAGTGAAGTTAACAAAATGGACCGAAAATTTGGTAAGGTCCAAAATATGAGATAAGACTTGCTACTCCTTAGGAATGTTAGCCAGCCCTTGCCATCAGAAAGGGGTTGTTGCTCTACCCACTCCCCAAATATTCCCACATTCTGCTCCAGCTCTTTAGCATAGGAAGCTTTTAAGCCTGGTAGATCCTTGTGTTACAGACGCACCACTGTCTGGTTCAAACTGAGAGTGGACAGTCATGTTCCTTGGGAATAGAAATACCTCTCCATGAACCCAGTTCCCCTGTGTCAGCAGCAGCTGGCAAGACTCTGAATGGCCTAGATCAGGCATGTCAACCTGGAAGGCTCCTGAGAGCCACACAAATGAAAACTTTCAGGGCCACCGGGGATTTCAGATGGCAACTCTAGGGCCACCAAAGAAAATGTACTTTGTCAGAAAATGATAGTTATATATTCTTATAGATTATGTTTTAGATATATTTTATAATATTACAACAATTTGATGTATAAAATTGTTATTTTCTCATATTAAATAATTTTAAAATTAATTTTACATAATTTGTAATTTAAATATAAATTTAAGGTACTTTTAAATTATGTATATGATACATAACTTGTTCTGTTGAAATAAAAACAAGACTAGACCATGGTTAATCAAATAGAACAGGCTTCTGTGAACATTTCAGATACTTTGTAGGTTTGAGATGTTGCTTAAATATATAATTAGTCACATATGTATTGATATAAAATTAAGACACATTTTGTGATTTTATTTGGGAATAAATAAGTAAAAAACAAAATATTAACAAAAAACCCCCTTCCTCTCTCCCAGAGCCAGGCACTGCCATATGCCCGTTCTAACCCAATCCTCCTCCACTCCCCCAGAGCCAGCCCCTCCCCCGCAACCTAATGCCTCTCTCCAACCCCCCTGAAATTTACATGCCCCTTCCGGAAAAGGGGCCAGTGTAGACGTAGCCTGTATGTGCTGTGAATTGGTGATGAGGCTCTATTTCTGTTCAGACTGACCCTGGGATCAGAGTTTGTTCTGAACAAATACTCATGGCCTGCCCACTCCTTTCTACAGCCCTTGGAAATGCTCAGGGGAAATATACCACCGATCAACTGAATGGACCATGAGGTGTCATCTGTTCTGCACATGTTTACTCTCAAGTTTGCTCATAGCAGGGTGTCAGGATACTTGTTTCCCATAATCCCAAACCACAAGGTAATTGCTGCAGCAGACGGTCCTGGTGTAAAACCTATGGGAGATTTGCTAATCAACAGGGCTATTAACATAGGGCAGGAAGCACACGGAGAAACAGGACACTACTACATATGCTCTGGGGTTCAGTGTTTTGGTGAAGGGGTCAGGGTGTTAAATGAGGCCAATTACATTCCACCAACATGAGAGTTCTAGATTTAAGAAAGTGATGATTGTGATGGAAAATGACCTCACTTCCCACCAAAGACAGCAACTGACATTGCTTGAATACACTGCTCTTGTCTCAACTCCAGGTTACTTCTTGTGGTTTTGAGCCTATTGACATTACAATTTAAAAAAATCATTAAAATGCTGACAATTAACCTAATCTAGCATTATACCAGGGGGAACTTTGACCTTGAGTTCAATGACTACAGGATCGGAACTTATTTCATATTCCTTGCCTATGTCCACATTGGGAAGGTTTGGCAGCAAACGTGCTGTCGACATGCAAAAGTTGCAAAACGTGAAAACTGACCAAATTGTTTTTTCTGCTCCCATTGTCAACATTTCATGGCCACATGGCCAGCACCCTGCCAACAGCTAAAGCAAAGCAGTGTGGGTTGGCTTCCCACAGTCCAGTGCTGTGGGAAAGCAGAGCTGATCCCTGCGCTTCTTGGGATTCTCTCTTAGCTCTGTGAGATCTCCCTGCTAAGAAATGACAAAGCAGCACAGCATCTGTCCCCCTCCTCCTGCAGCAGCAATCTGCCTTCTGCTCTGTTCCTGTGTGAGGTAGAACAGAAGCATCCCAGTGATTTGATCTCTGTTCCCCCAAACGAAGCAGCTCACTCAGCTTTCACATACTGCTTGGAGCTTTGAAAGAGCTGAGGTGCATCCTGAAGGGCAGCAGAAAGCACAAAATACTGAACAAAGCCATCAGGGCAGGCATTGTGGGATATTGGAGGAAGCCAGTTCTATTGACAAAGCACATAGCAGAATCTGCACTGGCTCTTTGTCAGCAATAAAGGGAGGGGAAAAAGGAAAACTCTCTTGCCAGGGTCGAAGGTTTTTTGTCCCTAAAACTGGACGCTTTTCTCAAGAAACGTTACATTATATTGTAAGGACATTCTCTGTTATGTTACCAAAAGGCAGTTTTGGGTGGCAAAAATGTGCCAATTAAGACATGTCCTTCTACAGCAACAATGACTCATCTTAGTGCCTAGCAAGTACTCTGCAGGCTGCATGACAAATTGTTTCTTGCTCTCTGCAATGTTCCAGGAGGAAAATAAATCTCTCTCTGACTCCAGCTACTTACATATTTATCTGGCTCTCAACACCAAATGCAAGTGCCCTTTTAACAGCCTCTTGTTTCTCTGAGAGACAGGAGGGTGCAGGTATCAGGAAGCAGCCAATGAGCAGGCAGGTCATTTGCATGAGGGGATGTTCTCCAAGGGGATGTTCTCCAGCGCTGGAGGTTTAAAGGAGAATCGAAGGGTCCCAGGCACAGACCCATTTGCTTCAGGAAGCCGAGCTCATCTGGATCCACCATGGCCTGGGCCCATCTGCTCCTTGCGCTGCTCACCTACAGCTCAGGTGCTCAGAGGGTGGAGGATTAGTACACACTGTGCTTCAGGAAGCTCTGTTTTTGGGCTTTCCCTCATTCACTTCCACTTTCTTGATTCTCTTTCTGTGTTCAGTCAGGACGTGATAATTGTTTAATTCCTGTCCTTGTTCCAGGGGCCAGCTCCCAGCCCACGCTGACTCAGCCGCCTTCAGACTCAGTGTCCCTGGGAAACACGGTGAAGTTCTCCTGCACCCTGAGCAGTCAGCACAGCAGCTACATTGTTGAATGGTATCAACAAAGGGATGGCCAGGCCTCTAAGTTCCTTTGGCTCAGTTCTGGCACCAAAGGAGAAGGGGTCCCAGATCGATTCACTATTTCTGACTCTGGAGCCATTCGCTATTTAACCATTACCAACGTCCAGCCAGAGGACGAAGCCACTTACTACTGTGGTGCAAGTTATGGCAGTGTTAGCAGCTTCGGGTAACTCACCATGTCACAGTCAGAGGGAGAACTGAGACAAAAACCCTCCCTTCTCCAGCCTCACTCTGCTGGATCCCACACTCTCTGCAGAACTTTGCATTTTACTTTCAATAAACCCTCCCTGCTCTGATTCCTTGTGATGGACTTTCTCTTCTACGCACAATATTATATCTTCCAAGTAAACACAGAGCCGAGAGGGCCTAATATCAGAAAAGCATCTTCGGACAAAAGAATCGGAGAAAACTATGCAAAATGCAGTCAGGTGTAATCTAGCCGTAGCCAGAGTGTGCAAATTCTGTTACGCTTTTCTTTGCACCTGAATTTCAAAAAAATAGGAAATGTGCAATTTTGAAGGTTATTTTTACATATCTAATTTAAAATAAAGCATAAGATGGAGCTTCACTTTGACTCTATACTGATTAATATTCAGGAGCTCAATTTTCAAAATACTTGCAGACAATGAACAAGGAGCAGAATTGCACGAAGGAGCCATTTACTAGCACTGAGAGTTGTAGGGTATGTCTACAATGCAAAGTTAAAGCAAGTGCGGCCGGGGTGATGGCAACGACCCCACAAGATGCACCAGTATGCCCAGGGGCAGCTCTGGCTCTATGTGGCCGAGTGCTGTGATGTCCTGAGTGTGGGCACTCAGGGCTCTCTAGGACAGGACTGCTTTGCTGTCCCTCATCGAGGTAGACAAGCAAGTGGGGAACCCTGAGAACTGTCTGTCCGGGGTGGGGGTAGGGTCCCTTTAAGCACGGAGCTCATTTAGCCTCTGGCAGCAGCCCCACACACTAAGTCCTAACCTGATGCCCTGCCAGCACTGGTTCTGGCCAGCCTTAACTTCGGTTCAGGGTCCACTCAGTGTGGATGTGCTATTGCGAAATAGTTTTTGTGTGTAGATGAGTTGTTTCGAGTTAGCTTAATTTGAATTAACTATTTCGAATTCAGTTAATTTAAAATAGTGCTGTAGTGTAGACATACCCTTAGAGAGAATTGTAGGGTCCAAAGCACAAACACATTTGCCTCAAAGCCGAGCTCGACAGGATCCACCATGGCCTGGGCCCCCCTGCTCCTCGCCCTGCTCACTTACTGCTCAGGTGCGGGGTTGTTGGCTGCACTGACACAACATGGAGGCCACCTGCAGGTGAGGAGGTTTGTGTGTGAGGAGCCGGAGTCCTTGTGCTGAGTTTGTTTGTTCCGTTGCTTTCAGGGGTCAGGTCACAGCCTGTGGTGACTCAGGAGCCCTCCATGTCGGTGACCCCAGGAGGGTCCGTCACGCTGTCCTGCAGCCAGAGCACTGGAGCCATCACCAGCAGCATCTATCCTGGCTGGTTCCAGCAGAAACCTGGATCAGCTTCTGGGGCCATATCTGGTAACAGCGCTGTCCTGACCATCAGCGGTGTGCAGGCACCGGACAATTCTGACTATCACTGTGCTGTATGGACTGGTAGTGCAAACCACAGTGTCTTCATCCTCCCAGCCAGGGTTCTGCACTAGCTGCATAATTTGGTTCCTACCTTCAGTAGAACTAGGACCCTAATTTATGTTCACGAAAAATGTGTTACTCACTGTGATATTTGGTGTTTCTTGGATCCCAGCCAGTAGCACCTGGTCTCCAGCTGCCCAGCTCCCAAGGTAGCAGCACTGGCAGCAGCATAACAGTAAGGATAGCAACACCACAACCACCTGCGAATGCCCTAATATCCTTTTTTTGGTCATGACTCCCACAATGTACAACACCCTCCAATTTCGGATTTAAATAGGTAAAATCATGAAATCTATCATTTTTAAAATCCTGAGATAGTGAAGTTAACAAAATGGACCGAAAATTTGGTAAGGTCCAAAATATGAGATAAGACTTGCTACTCCTTAGGAATGTTAGCCAGCCCTTGCCATCAGAAAGGGGTTGTTGCTCTACCCACTCCCCAAATATTCCCACATTCTGCTCCAGCTCTTTAGCATAGGAAGCTTTTAAGCCTGGTAGATCCTTGTGTTACAGACGCACCACTGTCTGGTTCAAACTGAGAGTGGACAGTCATGTTCCTTGGGAATAGAAATACCTCTCCATGAACCCAGTTCCCCTGTGTCAGCAGCAGCTGGCAAGACTCTGAATGGCCTAGATCAGGCATGTCAACCTGGAAGGCTCCTGAGAGCCACACAAATGAAAACTTTCAGGGCCACCGGGGATTTCAGATGGCAACTCTAGGGCCACCAAAGAAAATGTACTTTGTCAGAAAATGATAGTTATATATTCTTATAGATTATGTTTTAGATATATTTTATAATATTACAACAATTTGATGTATAAAATTGTTATTTTCTCATATTAAATAATTTTAAAATTAATTTTACATAATTTGTAATTTAAATATAAATTTAAGGTACTTTTAAATTATGTATATGATACATAACTTGTTCTGTTGAAATAAAAACAAGACTAGACCATGGTTAATCAAATAGAACAGGCTTCTGTGAACATTTCAGATACTTTGTAGGTTTGAGATGTTGCTTAAATATATAATTAGTCACATATGTATTGATATAAAATTAAGACACATTTTGTGATTTTATTTGGGAATAAATAAGTAAAAAACAAAATATTAACAAAAAACCCCCTTCCTCTCTCCCAGAGCCAGGCACTGCCATATGCCCGTTCTAACCCAATCCTCCTCCACTCCCCCAGAGCCAGCCCCTCCCCCGTAATGCCTCCTCCCTCCCCCATAGCCAAGCACCCCCAACCTCATGCCTTCCTCTTCCCCCAGAGCCAGGCACTCCCAGCCCCCCCTAACCTAATGCCTCTCCTCTGCCCTAAAGCCTGGCACTCCCAGCCCCACCACACCCTAGCT